TCATTTGAAACTACTCAGGAGAGCATTCTTACCTTTAAATAATAGTGCTATGGTTAGATGAAACAAAGAAATAAAATATTGAAATGTAAAAAATAATAAACATGAGGAGTAGCATTTGTTTTGTTTTTTTAAGACATTAGTTAACTTTTTATATTTGAAAACTCTGTATTCTCTCTTTTATGGACCAACATCACATATGTGGGTTTTAGTTAAAATATAAAAGATGAAAAAGGACCAAGTTAGCTAAAGCTGCTTTTCCACCAATAGAGTTGATTCTCATAAATAAGTAAATATCATTCATTAATCTAGATATCTTCACTGAGATATCTAACACATTGCGGGCTTTATTTTATCTCTTCAAAGAGAGAACAGCACTCAGGAAAAACTAGCTTATATACTCAAGATGTATATAAAAACTAAATATTCATTTAAGAATACACACACACATACACACACACACACAGGGGTGCCCGGGTGGCTCAGTTGGATAAGTGTCAGACTCGTGATTTTGGCTCAGGTCTTGATTTCGTGGGTTCTGGGATCGAGTCCCGTACTTGAGATTCTCTCTCTCCCTCTACTTCTGCCCCTGCTTGAGTGTGCCCGCGCTGACTCTCTCTCTCTCAAATAAATAAATAAATAAATCTTTAAAAAAAAAAAAACTTATTAAAAAAGCATACACACATGTCAATTTCATATTTTTTGTTTAGGGGAATAAGGAGTATCATTTTTGTACACATTTTGTATATCTTTGAATACTTTGTATTATTTTTACCATGATCTGAGTGCTCTGGGTGCTCTACATATATTATTTTGCATTTTCTTCACAAATACAGTATACAATTAATAATTGTCTTCACTTAGAAAAGCAATGTATGCTATCTAAGATATATGTGTTTAGAAATAAAAAGTTTTGATGTTCGCAAATGGTTCAGATGTGTGTGTGTTTGCATGAGTGCGTGTATGTGTATATTGATTGTGAGCAAACAGGTGTTTGTTATAATAGTGTTTCAATTTTTCAATATTCTGACATTTTTCTTGGTGAAGATTTGGAGAAAGAAATGACAGATGTGAACATTACCTAAATCCTATTCCCTTTCCTTCCCACCAGCAGTATATGAAAGTTCACATTTGTCAATATAATGGGTTTTAAGAGGTATTTTGCTGTTGCTGTGATTGCAAAGTCCTGCTCACAGTGTATTTGAGCATATGTTTATGTTTTTTGGAGATTTGGGAAAATAAATTAGAATAGTCACTTATTGAGGACAATATATATTAAAACTTCACATTTTCATACCCTGTGATTAAGAAGTTCTCCTTCCCAGTGTTTACCTTATGAAAAAAAATTAATTCATGTCCACACAGAGGTATGAGCCCTGGACACTCATTGGAGCATTCTTTGTAATAGAGAAAAATTGGAACCAACATCACTGTCCATTAATAATTGCATGGCAAAAGAACAACACCCATATTGTGAATTCAGATGTACAAGCATGGTCCCTAATTGTGGTAAAGACTCAAAGCTGAAGACAAAATGTACTACATATGCCACATTTTAAAGAACATCTAAGCAGGTGTCAGCCATCTCCCTTGAGGGCTTCTAGAGAAGGGTCAGAAATGACCCTTAATGCCTCTTCGAGTGTGGTCATCCTCTCCATCCTATTCTAGGCCTATCCCTAGTTGATTATATACATATATGATGGTTAAGCAAATGGAGATAAGTTGCCCTCTCAGAACAGCATTTTGGTCAATAGCTTCGCTCCCCCACAGTGATTAGAAGAGAGAGATTTCACAAGCTCCCCAGTCCCCGAGAGGCACAGAAGATGGATGTACATGCTCTCTCCCTGCAGCTGACCATGTTGGGATTTGCCAGGATGGCCACAGCATGGCGGGGAGGGAGGCAATCCCAGAAGGAGGCTTGTGAATGTTGAGGTGGTGAGCGCAAACACCAGTGCCTAGAGAAACCACTCCAAAGTGAAACGTCTCATGAGAATGATGCTCAGCATAACGTCCGTGTACAAGGAGAATAAAGCAGGGCAACCAACCAAGAAGAGAAGAACAATATCAGCCAGCTGGGTTAAGAGGTGTTTGCTCTTTTCCCTGTTCCTTCTCCCTCCTCAAAAAAACACAAGAGGAGCTATGTCAAATTGTGCACAGTCCTTGGTTAACGTCACACATCCACCATGCAGTTATTCTTAAATTTTCTGAATCATGAACTAGTATGAAAATCATCTGAGCCTTTATCATCCCAGTCTCAGAAAACTGTGAACCTGCTCACAAGAAGGATATTCAGATATACAAACTGATAAAATTTCGTATATTTAAACAGGCTATGGACTCTGAGGCTGATCCCAATAAAGAGTCCTTAGACGATCTGCTAGATTTTTCTCATCTTGAATTTGCACAAAATTCATAACTTTTGAATCAATCTAAGAGCTTTTTAGGAGGAAAAAAACCCCAAAGTTTCCCATATAACCTAGACATTGAATAGTAAATCATTGAATAAAAGGGTATGATGAACCCTAAGCTTAAATTATGAGGTTTCCGGAGCGCCTGGGTGGCTCAGTCGTTAAGCGTCTGCCTTCGGCTCAGGTCATGATCCCGGTGTCCTGGGATCGAGCCCCGCATCGGGCTCCCTGCTCGGCGGGAAGCCTGCTTCTCCCTCTCCCCTCCCCCTGCTTGTGTTCCCTCTCTCACTCTGT